ATTCCACTGCCCAGCCTATAGAGACATCAGATATAGGGCATTCGTCTAGGGTAGAGAGAAAAGATTATAATCTTTCTATCTGTTTTCTAAAGAAGGCCAGGGAAGCCTAGTTGAATTCCTAAAGGAATCAAAAATAGCTACTAGGAGATGGCACCTAGGGGCTAACTAATAACTAAAGAAGGATCACCTAATCATGCTTACTAAGCCACCCCTATTCTATGACTCTCCCCTCTTTCTTTATCAAATCAACCTATACCTACTATTCCTTGACTTTTTATTCATATTATACTACTGCCTATCTCTTATTTCCTATTTCTGTCCCTCATAGAAGGTTCCCACTGTTGACTGGTCTATAGCATAACCCACCTGTATATAGATATTAGCTACTAAGCCCTACTGCCTAGGTGGTAGGCAGAGCGTGCATAGTCTCTGACTGAAAAACGCTCTCTAAAATGGAAGAATAATAATAATAATAACCAACCCTGACCCCTCTCCTCTATAAAAATGGCACATTCTGGGTTCAAAACATATAACTATATATATATTAGTGGCTTAGATGTATATGAATGGGTTGAAATGGTCCTTAGGACCTTTGTAACAAATACAGATAGTTGATTAAGGATTTTCTATATTATATGGTTGCTGCTGAGCCTAAAAAGTAGTATGGGTAGTCCTCTAAAATATGGTTAAGTTGCCTTGCTGAAGCCATCTAGCAAGAAGATGTTATCTAGCAGATTATAAATGTTTCTAAAGTACTATGTGATAGATCTCTTCTTGTTGGTCAACTACAGACTGAAGTACAACATTTAAGTATGCCTGAAGTTGGTCTTAGAGAGTTTAACCATAAGATACTAGTCTATGACCTTGATATACCCTCTTTAGCAGAGCATATATAGATGGTAGCCCCAAAATTATGTTAGTTACTTTCAGGACTTATAGAGCCATATTATATTAGTTAGACTGCACCTGATAAACCATACTATGGCCCTATTTTTATGATCTGTACTATAATAGTATTTGAATCTTTACCAAGGTATAATAACAACTTTGTAACTCTTCTTGGTCTATATATATACAATGCGAGGCAAGTATTGTGACGGCTCAAACAAGTGAAATCAGTTCATTTGGCGGCTATCCAACGAAGATCCGAAGCTGGAGAAGAAAGAAGCTATCGAGGCGTGGTGGGTGTGGGGAGATATCGAGACATTCTGCCAGCACAAACCCACACCGCTCTCTACACCGCCTACGTCTCTGACTCTGCCTGGCACCGCGACAAGTATTAGATGATAAATGTCCTGGCAGGATTAGGGATTATTCCTTCTTATTGGACTATTATCTAGAAGTATATTAAACTGGCTGAGCTTAGAAAAGTAATACCCCCTCACTATTATTATTATTATTATTATTAATCAAGTTTAACGTCCATACCGAGCCTTTCGGCTATGACAGACCCCGAATCATGGGCCACAGCCCCTATCTAGTCTTTAAACTTATCTTTGACCATTCTAGACCTTTTCCTCGCCCCAAACCACCTTACCGTGCAGGGCTTTTGGGCATTATGTATGCCCTCCTTGGTGTGATCACTGTATGGGTGTCACCTGCCTGCTGCAGGCCACCCTCCCCTATTATCCCTCCCCCTCTCGTTCTGCCTCCTCTAAGGCCTCCAGCCCCCATTCATCATCCCTATGAGCCCTATCCACTGCCCGTGCCTGGTCCCCCCGGGGGCAACCCTATGGTAGTATCTGCTAGGACTGCAGCAGGGC